TGTTTAGAACATAGTTAATAAATGTATAAGCCAACACAAAAGAATCCAGGAACAGTAAAACTGTTTAAAAAAAGAGAAAAAGAAAGAAAAGAAAATATACCAATAGCCTCTTTGAATTCTTGCAGAAGGGTTGAGATCTTTATGATGCAAGAGAAATGCATTACTTGGTTTCATTCCTTAATGTCTAGCTTTGTTGTTTGGTATTTTAAGCTTTTATTTAACTTTGACAAATCACAAGCCTGGAAATTAGTATAGAAAGTCAGGTGTCCAAGAGCAGTGCACTAATTAGCTTCATTCTGAAGAAGCTTCATTTGTACAAGTTGCACAACACTACATATTACAGGGCAGTGGGAGGCTCCAGGTATATCTATGGGCACAGACAAAAGTAACAACTGAAATATTTTCATGGGAAATGCACTTGGAAACATTTAATAAAGGGAATATTTCAACCAGGGGACACATGTGCCCCTTTGCTATTACTGGCTGGAAAGCTTCAGAATGCGGCAGCCTCTTCTAGAGCCCGTCACTCTGGTCTCACCACCAGGAGTCTGACGCCCCAGCTCCAATCTCCTTTAGCCCTCCTCTCCACCCCCCAGCAGAGGAGTATAGGGTACTGGGGTTGAAGGACCAGGCTTCAGGAGTGGCAGGGGCCCTGGGCGTCAACAGAGTTCTGGACCAGTAGTGGGGAGGGGTAAATCTGGCTCTGGCAATGGAGACCTGGCAGCATCCCAGGATAAAGAACAAGACCCAACAGCTGGAAAGCAGGCAGCCTGCCCACCTTATCTCCCCACCCTTCTCTGTCCAGACATAACAAAACAAAATAGTACCTCCTTTCAAGAGGTACTAGTGAAGTGTGTCAGCCACTTCTGGAACATTTCAAAGGGTTTGTACACAAGCGCAGATGATCCTCAGACACATTCAAAGGCATTTGAAACTTTTTAATTATGTGTGTCCACATCCTAACTTCCCATTGTCTCTAGTGCCACTTCTTTTATAACCTGCCTTTTTTTTTTAAAGCAACAGCAAAAAACCACAATTTACTAATCACTATAACTGATACAATAACCACCAGGGGTGTATCAGCATGTTCTCTGTGCCTACATACATGCATTATTACTAAGCAGAATCCTGCTCTTGGATCCTACTCTCTAGACCCCTATCAGAAGTGTGTTTTCTACTGTGTAGTTTGTTCTCAGACTGCAAAATGGGGAATAATGAAAATACATATGAAGAAGGTTGTCAGAAAAGAAAGGGACAAAGTAAAGATGAAATCTGGCAATCCATCAGAAACGGTGCTAGCTGAATTAAATGTATGTCAGATGAAGAATATAAAACTTAGAGGTCAGGAGTCACTCCAAGATTTCTGGACTGTAAATTAAATTTAAATCTGAAATTAGGAGAAGGATGATAAAGGACCATTTAGTCAGGAGGACCTTTGCCTTTTTATAGTACCATGGAATCATAAAACTGGTAGGGACTTCACAGGTTATCTAGTCTAACCCCTTGAAGAAATGCAGGATTTGCTCTTCTTAAAAAATCCCAGATAGGTTGCTACCCAGCCTCTTCTTGAAAACCTCCAGTGAAGGGGATTCCACAATTTCCCTAGGCAACTCGCAGAGGTTATGGCATTGGTGAAAGTTGACAGAGTTAGGACAAGCTGACAAATGGGAAATACAAGAATCAGACCCTGACTGGAGGTGGGCTATCAAGGAAAGAGTAGAAGTGACAAGCAACAACAAAGTAAATGACATACCCCAGAAGGGTAAAAATATATGGAGAGCTCCAGCAGGATGAAAAACAGCTGTTCTGTATATAACAGGATGCAGTAGCATGGAAATTAAGAAAACAGCATAGTGGAAACACCAGACTTGTGTATGCCATATCCAGAAGGATGGAGAGATAAGTAATATCCAGTGATACAAAAACTGAATAAGGAAAACAAGAGGCCTATTTGAACCATACCTGTAAGGTGTCTTGAACCAGCTAGGGAAAGGTATTCTCAGTACCATGAAAAGGACTGAAAGCACAGTGAAGCAATCAAGAAGATTGTGCTGGGTAGAATGAACAGAGGAGTAACAGAAGAGTACACAGAGCAGAAGATCAGATAGGAAACATGCACAAATGAAAAGAGACAGAAATATGAATTGTTAATCCATGTCCAACTTCTCTCCACCTGCCTCAAGAAAGATGGCCTATTACATACAAACAGTGACAAGGTATCTGCAATATACATTCAAATCTATTTTCCAGAAGATAGATTGCTGTGCCACTATGATCATTTTTGCTAAGAAATGTCTTGTTCATTCCTACAGAGATTGAGCCAATAATTTGCATCCAGTTGCGGCAGCAAACTATTATTTGACTCTGCTCTTTATATTAATCCATATGTTAATACGTACTTGGTAGGCTGGGAAACCAATGCATCTTTATGCAGTCTGTAACACGGGAAAGCATTAAATGTACCAGGTTCCATGGATACCCCTTCCACTGTTGAAAATTCCTTTTCAACCAAACCAAACATTTCCATCATTTTAAATCCTGAAAGGCATAAAAATGTAGAAAATATCACTTTAAAGTTAACAATTTGTGACAGAAAAAGGGAGAAGAGGACAAAGTGGACTAGAGAAAGGAACTTCATACCCCGATTTGTCTAACAGCTGTTGTTACAAACAGAGAAAAAATAAATTTACTACTTAACATTTTGCCTATCAGTTAAAGAAAATGATTCCATAGATGCAGAATATAAAACAATCTCTTTTCTGTACCTGCAAAACTACTGCCATCCTTATACACCAACGGGCAAGCTGGAAGAAAGGAAAAATACATTTCAACTCAGAAAAGAAGTAAACACTTCCAACAAACCTGTAATATTTCTTTTTATGAAGAGAAACTAGACTTTTCCATCACAGAAAGTCTCCTAGGGAATCAATAAACACTGAGGTCTGAATTTTTAATGATGGGTATCTAACATGGTATCACTAGGGATCTAAAGTTGCTAACAAAAAACAGAAACAGAATTTCAGGCTACTTTTCAAAACGTATGCCTAAATAACCAGTAAATACAAGTATTATGTTTTCAAAGTCCTGACATATATTAAAAGTAGAGTTTAAGGGCCAAAAATGAAGGGTACATATCAGCAATATAAAAGCAATGATCTTGTGTATCTCAGCTCTGTTAGACTGCAGTTCCAAGACCAATTTCATCATCAGAAATTATTCAAACTAGCTACATACTGCCATTTCTCAGGCATGCACATAATGGCTAGGGACAGACATTCAAAAATCCTGAGCCTGAATTGATTCAGTCTTTGCAAGTTAATTTAACCTGGCTAGGCTGAACTGGTTTGAAACCAGACAGACATTCTCTCTGGACTCAGGAAATACAGGCACATGCCTGCAGTGGCTCAGGCTAGAAGCCGGGGAGGAGACGTGGGGTGCTAGAGCAGCCCTCCCTTCCCTGCTGCAGGAAGCTGAGCTGAGTGGGGTGTGGCCAGGCCCTGACAGGACTCTCTCATTAGGAAGGTCTGCCTGCAGGGTCCCAGGCTTTTCCCCACTGGCTGCTCAAGAGGCAGGACTGTTGCCAGCTCCCAGCTCCGGCCTAGCACTCTGAGGCAAGGGGGCAGTGGGGTGCAATGATGCTGTTGATACAGAGCTTTTCAATCTCCCTCCCTGCTTCGTCATACTGTCTGCAGCAAACTGACACGCAAGCAAGCCAGCTTGGGGCCTGATAGTGATAACAGTCTTTATCACCTGATTAGCAAAACAATAGCCTCTCTCCACTACTTCAAACTTCTTAAACAGCTTACCAGCTGGCCTGTTGATTAGCTCCAAATAGCCCTAAGCAGTCACTGTTCTGTCTGCCTGCCCCAGTGAAACTGGAGACACACACACACACACACACACACACACACACACAC